TTTCCTCATCGATGCTCAGACTAACATAGGTCGCTCCCCACTCTCTGCTACTTTTTGATTTGCCAGCAGCCTTCCTCTGCCTGGCCATACCTTCCACCTTTCCATCCTTGCTCATTCACCATTTCTCGTCCTATACACTTCCAGTGAGGAGTTAGAGGCTGGGATGGATAGATACCACACCTTCTCAGCATTTTATCTACCTAGCTGGGTTGGTGACATTGTATCATTTAACACCACTGAGAATGAAAATGGGGGCAGTTGCATTAGTGAGTGTTGATTTCTGATCGACAGATACCAGCCATGAGACTATACTTTTGCCAGAGCTCTGTCTTCCTAGATATAGACATGAATGATTATACACACAGCCTCACACCCACTCTACCAGTACTTAGCAGTGTCATTTTCTGTTAGCTACACTTCTAGATTGCTGTCATTCTTGCTTGTAAGTACACATTTGAATAACATAATGGAAGACAACCTGTCTACCTTTACATATCAGATCTGATATTCACGGCTGAGAAAACCTCACCTCTTAGGGTTTATTTTATGTCAAGTATGATGAATGGCCTTGGGCACTCCAGCACAGGAGCTAAAACTCAGGAGAGTTTTAAGCTGAGGGATTTTGTTTTTTTCTCTCCTCTTTTTGGATGCATAACTGCTTCATCATTGCTGTCAAACGAGGGCTTGGTATGATGGGAGAATTACAGGAAACAACCTAAAAGGGACTGTAATTTTGTCCCTTAGGGACTTTTGTCCAGATCTGCTGATTGTATAGTATGTTCACAGACTAACTTTAGAAATTGGTGTATTTTTATATGCATGTTCTTTAGATGATTAAGGACAGTGTATGGTAAATAAGGTTAACTTTTTAACGAAATGTAGTTTGTGCATGAATCTTGGTATGAATGAGGAAATGGGTGTGCCATGAGTTTTCACATGATTTTTCAAAACCTTGCAGTACATTGAATAAATTTTTTCAGTACAAATTACAAAATGAAAACACTGTTGTGTTTAAGGCCTCTCAGCTAAAAAGGTTTAATGTCTTCAATAATCACAGTGCTTCTAGTGGAAGAAGACATGATAGTATATGAGGCAACTATTTCAACAAATAGGTCCCATATCTCAATGGCTTACAATAAATATGTCTTGTTCTTATACACTGGCCTGGGAGTTGGCTAAGTTTCATTCGATCTGGTCTGTGTTTAACTGAGCTTGGCTCCAGGCTTGTAGGACTGTGCCTGGATCAGACGTTCCAAGTTTCATTCCAAGCTCCCTAGGGCAGAAGCACAAGGCCGGGCATGAAAACACCATGCGTATCTCAAGGCCTTGGCCTAGAATTGGCACACCATCACATTGCTTATGTTCAGATGGCCAAAGCAAGTCACGTGGCAGGGGAAATATACCAGAAAAGGCTTTGGGTCCATGATCAGAATGCAGGGAGGGAGTGAAGCAGTGAGAACAATAATCCAGCGTACCCCTGCTAGACAGACTGATTGATTCCATTTTGGAAAGATGAGCTGTGGACACTGCCTCCTATTTTAAATGGCATATTACCTTTCCATTCTGTCTGCTTCTGTTGTTTTGATAATTGACAGCAAAACCTCAGACTGATGTTATAGATTAGCATCAGGAAGTGCAGCTCATCATGTGAATGGTTTTGAAAATACAGCCTGTCAAAGTGTTTCCAAGGTAAGTCACCCTACCTTTACTGTGACTGTGCTGTACGTTGTATTAACCGTGGTCAGCTGTACAAATAACCTGTGTGTTTGTGTGTGATCGATCAAAATGTTGAAATGTCTTTGAGAAACAAAATAACTAATATCGAGTAAAAAACTGATTTGTAATATGCACATGAAAGGGAAAGACACAAGTTTAAATTGATAAAACTGATTCAATTTTTCACAAAATATTCTCTAAATATCTAATATCCCAAAATCTATTTGTATCAGAAGATTAAATGACAGTTGACTGTTTTGACAGAATATATTTATCCAATTTCAGATAACTTTCTTCTCTTGATTAAATTTATTCAGCTGGAGAGACTAGTTTGGATACTACCCATTTTAATAAATATGGACATGTGCTTTATTTTTGACTAAAAATGTTGTGTTTGTGTTATTAAAACTCTCCATTTAAAAATTATTTTATAAATTCATTATAGTCTTCAGAATGTTGACTTTGTCCTATGTCCTAACCTACTTTGTCAGACTTTTGACAATAACGATTTTATGTTACTTATTTCGGTTTTATGTTTCTTATTTCAGTTTTATGTTACTTATGGTCCTTTTCTGTCCAAAGGATTCTTACCAAAATTATTATGCATCATGGTTTTACCTTGCATGTTTCCTTCATAGGGATATTGTCTGGTTAAACCTTAGGCATTAGAAATTAACGCTTCAAAACTAAAAGCATTTTCAGAAAGAAATAACTTTAAATGTTTCTGCTTAAACTTTACATTGTTTTTCCTCTGCATAGAGAGTGAATTTGATTGCATGCCTCACCTCATTAATGCAGTATTGGATAGCCACTGCAGGTGTGTGAGGGGTCTGCATGTGTGTTCGCATAAATATGCATGCATGTGTATGCATCTGTGTTTTATCAAGGCCCCCAAATCCTTGTTATTGTGGGAATTTTTCACTCTTTTGTACCTAAGTGATGAACTTATACTCACCAGACAATATGCCTCTGATGATACAGATGTCTTACCTCAGGTGTTGTACATTGTGTTTTGTGATATATATAATATATATTATGTTTTATATTGTTTTATTATTCTATGCAAACTTTACCCAAAGCCAGCAGTTTACTTCAAAAGAAAAATGAAAGGTGGAGGGATTTAAAATGAGGGATGTCATTAGTAACTAGTACATCTTGGAAGATGAGATAGTACAGTGAGAGTATACTGTAAATTTTAAAAGCTTTATACCAAAGGTGAACAGAAGTAGTCTAGGAAGAGGATGAACCATATAAATAGAAGTTATAAGAGGTCTGAGCTTTAATTTCTTCATCTGTTAAAATATAATCAGTACTATCTTCCTCAGAGTCAACATGAGGATAAAGCAAAGGTGCTAAGCAGAGTGCCTTCTCCCTGAGGTTCTTTTAGGCGTTAGTTCATTCCTATGTCTTGAGAATAGGAGTGGGTCACTCCAAAGCACATGAGACTCTAAATCAAAGCCCAGAACACTGTTTGTAGACAGTAGGTAGCGAGGGGATTAACTGGAAAGGCATTTGTTCTAAGGCCTCTGGCCCAGATCAAGGAAGAGCCTGGGTATGTTCTTCTAGACAACTGTGTCTGTGGAGGTGAGCATAGACTTGGGAAGCCCTGGACCCTCATTTTTCTCAGTGGCTGCAGGAAGGTGTTTTTGTGAACAGCCTGCTAGGGGGCAACTGTAGAAACACTGCCCTGCATCATCTTTTACTTCGAAGTGTGATTGAAAACCAACAAACTGAGCAGGCAAACAATAGCCAAACCTTAGCTGTTTTCAAATTTTCTTTCTTCTAAAATGCTACTCTAATATAAAGGAGAAGCAGGCTATCCTGCAGTTCTTTTGTGAGCTGACTTACTCTCAGCTCATGTTTCGTGTAAGTCAGGTTTCAGCATAGTAGAAGCCATTGGTTGGCTTTGGGTGACTGCCAAACAGACTCTTACAGGGATTATGTGTAATAAACACTCTCATATATTCAACATTAATCTCTATTGCAAAATACACTGAGCATAAACCTTTAACTTCTGCCTAATTGCTTAATATTTTGTCAAGATTGCTTACTAGGAATTAAAAGAGGACTAGGAACTTGAGTGCTATATGAAACATTAGAAGTGATCTATCTGGTGTTTTCCAAACTATGTTCTAGTACACCATTAAGTGGCTTGCGACATGTTTAGCAGGAGTCCCTTTAAATAGATTCTGTAGTCAAACAAGTTTGGAAAATGCTATTCTACAGAACTAGGTTTTCTTTGCTAAAGGATATCCAAGGTCTTTAATATGCTACCACGAGTCATGGCTCTCTAAGAGATACATTCAGATGGCCAAAGCAAGTCACGTGGCAGGGGAAATATATCTAAGAGATACAGTACGTAGCTTTTCTCACACTTTACTGACCATAGAATCCTTTTGTTGTAGAACACTTATTGCCATCTTAAGAATAGAATGTCAGGCAGGGGCCAGAGTGTAGTCATTAAAAGCGTGGCCCTCTATTGTTAAACTGCCTAGGTTCAAATCCTAGCTTAACCATTTGCTGATTTTGTGATTTTGAGCAAATTGCTTAACTTCTTTGTACTTCAGTTTCCCCATTTAAAATGAGAACACTAATGATACCTAACTATATGTTATCATAAAAATTGAAGAACAGAGCTAAGAAGAGTGTCTGGCACATAGTTAATGATTATCACCCTATTATCACTTACCTGCAGTTTAGGTAAGAATGAACTAGACTTAATACCTTTGATTCTAGAGATGACAAAAGCAAATCCAAAATAGGTTTCTCATGCACTACTTACTAATTCAACAAACTGACCAAGTCCAGTATGCACCATGGATAATTATTCTATTCCCAGAAATGAAGATGAACAAGACACAGTTCCTGCCCTGGAGAACACCCACATTAGTGACTTGGCTCAGATGACACTGTTTAGGAGTTACAGGAAAGCTAACAGGTCAGGCCTCCTGACTCCTGTCCCTCAGCTCCTCCTCTGATTCCATTCTGAGATAGAACGGCCCATGCAACCTCTAAGCAAGAATATGGACCATAGAGTAGAGCCAATAGACTTGTCTTTTCAAATTGAAGATGGAGACATATGTTGTAATTTTTTGTTAGAGTGAACCAGAAATTGTTGGGAGAAAAACTTTAGAAGGAAAGCAATCTCTTAAAAGTATAATTTAGAAAGTAAAGTAGGAGATAGTATGAAAAAGTCTACGTAGGAGTTCCCCAAGTTTGGCTTTATTTATTTATTTATTTATTTGGCTGCCATGTCACTGATGGCCTTCTCTCTGTTTGTTTAGGTATCTCCTCTGAGAGCTTTCCCTGGGACTGCTTCAATGAGCAGACACTTAAAGACCTTCCCAACAGGGATGGAGGCACGTGGGTTCTGGACTACAGAGCAGGACCAGCCTGTCCATTTTTGCTTCACGAGGAAAGGGAAAAGTCAAACAGAAGCGAATTGTACTTGGATCTCCATGTAAGTAGAAATCTTTGTGATTGTGCTGTGGTTCTTTGTAGTCAACAGAGGCTCATTTCATATGAATTTTATGTAAATTATACATATAAAGCTGCATTTAATGTATGGATCAGTGTATGCGTCATTAATGATGCATACGTTAATGTCATGTATGCATCAGTATGGATAAAAACATCAGTGGGCTGCAGAAAATCAAGATGCATCTTGGTGATCCTAAATTCGTAAACTAGAAAGTAATTAGCAACTTTTCTTGAAGTGACTGTGTTTGTCATTTATCTGAGTCTTTTCAGAGCACTCTGTTCATTAACTTTGCAGCCTGAATCTCATTGTGGGAGTACCCAATGGTTGCGAGTCACTTTTTAATATCCTTTTACTAAAAATTTGTGAATAACATATGTAAGCCAACTGATATGCTCTAGATTCTCAAGTGAAATCCAAATAGCCTGGCTTCCTTGCATGTTCATGAACCTTTCTCTCCAGCTGCTCAAACAACAGGTGAATAGGGTGGCAGGAAATCTGCAGAATATAGGACGATGCATTAAAAAAAATAACCTTCTGCTTTCTTTTTAAAAAATTTTTGTTCACTTTTAATAACCTCTCTTCTGCAGTTTAAATTTATTTTTTATTTTTAAATAGATTTTTGGGGAACAGGTGGAGTTTGGTAACATGAATAAATTCTTTAGTGGTGGTTACTGAGATTTTGGTGCACCACATCTAAGCAGTGTACCCTGTAGCCAGTGTGTAGTCTTTTATCCTTCACTTCCCACAACACTTTCCCCAAGTCCCCAAAGTCCATTGTATCATTCTTATGCCTTTGCATCCTCATAGCTTAGCTCCCACTTATAAGTGAGAACATGCAATGTTTGGTTTTCCATTCCTGAATTACTTCACTTAGGACAATAGTCTCCATTTTTATCCAAGTTGCTGCAAATGCCATTATTTCATTCCTTTTTATGGCTGATTAGTATTCTGTGGTATATATATACCACATTTTCTTTATCCACTCATTGATTGATGGGCATTTGGGCTGGCTCCCTATTTTTGCAATGGCAAATTGTACTGCTATAAACATGTATGTACAAGTATCTTTTTCGTATAATGACTTCTTTTCTTCTGGGTATATATACCTAGTAGTGGAATTGCTGGATCAAATGGTAGATCTACTTTTAGCTTTTAGTTCAAAAAAAATAGCCTTCTCCTTTTTTTTTTTTTTTTTTTAAGATGGAGTCTTGCTCTGTTGCCCAGGCTGGAGTGCAGTGGCACAATCTTTGCTCATTGCAACCTCTGGCTCCTGGGTTCAAGCCTCACCTCCCACCTCAGCCTCCTGAGTAGCTGGGCTTACAGGCGTGCACAAACACACCCAACTAATTTTTGTATTTTTAGTAGAGATGGGATTTCACCATGTTGGCCAGGCTGGTGTTGAACTCCTGACCTCAAAGTGTTCCCTGCCTTGACCTCCCAAAGTGCTGGGATTACAGGCATGAGCCACCACACCTAGCTGCCTTCTCCTTTCTTATTCATTCATGTTTTCATTGGCACAGAAGTATTGACTCCCCCTTAGAAAGCACTGGGCTGGGGTTCAGCTACTTCCACATTTAGATGGCTTGATAGGATTTACCAGATTATTGTGATATTCGGCAATACCTCTTTACCCATCCAGTTACCTGTCACAGATGAGGTGAGCACCAGAAATCTAAGAAGCACTTTTCCTTTTTTTAGCTATTTATTTTACTGCCTGTTGACAGTTTTGCGTTCTCTCCAAGTCATTACTTTCAGATATGGAACCATGTGTTTGATGACTGTGGGTTAAGTCTGTGGTGTTCACATGGGTGGCAATCAAAGAGCGGGAGAACCTTGTACTTTTCATAACCATGAAACCATGGTCACTGTATGTCATTTTAGAATAGCATTCAACATTCCAGGTATTACAAAGGGTGGTTTAGAATGAAGCTGAAAGATGAGAAATCTGCAACCCTGCAGCAGATGACATGGGAATTAGTTAAGTTTTTGGTTTTATTCCCCTACCTAAAGTGAAGTTGTGTTTCTTAAGAGATGTGCTTAAAGTAGGAAGCGTAACAGTGACATCTGTTGGTGAGTTACTTTAAGTTGCATTTGCCACAGACAGCAGGCGTAGAGTGTAAAAGTGCTGAAATAGATTTTGAAAAGCCACTTTTTCTTCTGTGTTTTTTTTAAAAAAATACTGTGTCTATGTGTTTTTTTTTAATTAGCTAAACACTGTATTTCTGGTTTTCCTTTTCCTCTGTAAATTAAATGATTTTTTAACTTAATTTATTACAATTATAAAAATCCTCCACAATCCTTACAGAAAAATTGAAATACATAGTTACAGTGAAAAAAAAACCTCATAATCTTAGCAATGACGACTGTTACAATTTGATAAAATTTCTTTGTTTTTTTCACTAAGTGTGGTTTGTTTTTCAATGAGTTTTTTTAAACATATAAGTATGCCAGATTTTATAACCACCTCTCTTTTTTAACCAATTACTCTTAGACTGCTTATACAGATTGTTACAAGCATATTACAGATGTGTTTTAAGTAATTGAGTTATATTCCCCAAAATGGTATGCCAAAATTTATTTACTCATTTCTCCGTTATTGGGTATTGAAGTTGTTTCCAGTTTTGGAATAGAACCACTATTTGGAAAGAAAATAGCATGACCACATGTATAATTTTTCCTATACCCTTCCCCCCTTTATTTAGGTCTATTTCTTTATAATAAAATTCTAGGAGGTGGATTTTTTTTATATTTATCACTAGATGAAAAATATTTCCTGAACTAGCCTTTTATGGGTTTTATATATATTTATATATTACATATATATAATACGTAAATTATACATATGTATGTATAATTTAAATATATTTACAAATATATGTGTGATATAGAAATATATATTTGTATATTCATATAAATATTGTGTAATTAAAAATAAATATATGTTTAGTTTTTTATTAATCCGAATTATAAAAACTAAAATAGTTTCTTTAGATTATTTTCTGGATCAACGTTTTTTATGCTTTGGGGCCTGTGTTTCCTTCCTCACCTCCAAGCCCTTCTCCCCTCTGTGGACAGTGTGACTTGACTCTTATATGTTTAAATATTAATATTCTAGGTAAGGTTTCTGTCTGAAAGGATTATACTTATTTAGAAAAAAATGTGTATCATGTAAAAGACTACACATTGGGTGCAATATATACTGCCTGAGTGATCGGCACAAATCTCATAAATCACCACTAAAGAATTTGCTCATGTAGCCAAACACTACCTGTTCCCCTAATAAGTTATGGAAATAAAAAAGTAATTTAAAAAAAAGAAGAAGAAGAAATGAGCCTCCTGTTAATGACTAGCAGCTCACAAAAACCCTTTTCCTCTGCTGGGCTTTGGACTCATTTTGATCAGCCTTAGACATTGGACCAGCACTGCCGTGGTTCCAGTTTTAAACCTGACTTTCAGTGTCACCATCAGAATGTTACTTTCCTGAGCCTTTTTTTGTGGCTACACTGACTCGTTAGTATGTGATGCCAGCTAAAATATTTCATACCTGAAATAATCGGTGGGAGTTTGGCATCGCGTGTCAGGATGGACACTGGCATTAAGGTCAGGGCTGTTACTAAGTCTCCTTATTAACTGAGCATTCACCTTTTAGTTACTAAACTATGAGAAGACTCAGGGGTTCCTTGGGGAATGGCAGGAGGTGGGATTGGTGTAGGACAAACACTAGGGAGACTCTGGGCAGCATTTATTTAACAAACTAAATGGAAAAACAAAACAAAACAAAACAAAACCAAAAACAACAAAAAAAAACCTCCTTTACCCTCACAACACTTCTGATATTCTGAGACCAAGTGTGCATGTTTTTCATAACAAGCAATTCTCAATTCTCTGTAGACACCAACTAGATGTTCCACAATTCAATTCAACTGACATGATCTACTTGGAATTGTAGTCAGATCCCACAAGTTAAGGGTTCAGTCCTACAAAACTGCCATACCTCAGATGCCAGTCACAGGTGGTGGGTTCCCAGGTTACCCATAACTTCTGTCCAACTTGAATACAAATAGGAGGCTCCTATGATTCCCTCCTCAGACTCGATAATTTGTTAGGATAACTTGTAAAACCCAGGGAAACAGTTTACTTACTGTTATCAGAAAGGGGTCTTGATCTAGACCCCAAGAGGGGATTCTTAGACCTCCCACAAGAGAGAATTCAGGGCAAGTCCATAGAGTAAAGTAAAAGCAAGTTTACTAAGAAAGTAAAAGAATAAAAGAATGGCTACTCCACAGGCAGAGCACAGTGGTATGGGCTGCTTGAGTACACCTATAGTTATTTCTTGATTATATACTAAATAAGGGATGATTTATTCATGAGTTTTCCAAGAAACAGGCAAAGATTTCCTGGAATTTGGGCTCCCTTCCCTTTTTAGACCATATAAGCCAACTTCTGGGAGTGTCATGGGAGTATCTTTCAGCATGCTAATGCATTATAATTAGCATATAATGAGCAGTGAGGATGACCAGAGATCACTTTTATAGCCATCCTGGTTTTGGTGGGTTTTGGCTGGCTTCTTTACCACATCCTGTTTTATCAGCAGGGTCTTTGTGACCTGTATCTTGTGGCAACCTTCTTTCTTATCCTGTAAGAATGCCTAATCTACTGGGAATGCAGCGCAGCAGGTCTCAGCCTTATTTTACCTATCTCCTATTCAAGATGGAGTCGCTCTGGTTCAGACGTCTCTGACATTACCAATTTATTACAAAGAATATTTTTAAAGGGTACAAATCAAGAGATAGCCAGATCAACAGATACATAGGGTGAGGTCTGGAAGGGTCCCGAGCACAAGAGCTTCTGTCCCTATGGAGACAGAACTTCTTTGGTTAGGGTTTTTATGCAGGCTTCATTACATTGGTAATTAGCTCAACCTTTAGCCTCTCTACCCTCCTGGGGGTGAGTTGCTGGGGACCAAAATGTCCACCCCC